GCATCCGTCTGCCATAAACACTATGCAAACATACATGTTAGTTTTGGCCCATAGTGGACTCCATTTTGTGTTGTGTGAAATGGGGGGAATTAAAAGTTTAGGTCAAATAATATTTAAAATTATATAAATTGTCATATTTGTGTATGTGCCCCTGCCATTCCCCCACAAGGTTGCAACATTGATGATAAATAAATGACAAATAAAGCTTTGCCAGTTTATAACCGATGAAACATGATGGTATCAGAATAATCACTTACATGTGATGTATAGGATGCTACACAGGTCACAAAAGATAAAGTGTCAGGAGAAATAAGCTTAATCGCCATGTCGGTTTTCTTTATTGCACTCTCAAGACATAACATTAAATAGAACAATTTTAAATGTAAATAAAGTGTCAGTTGTACATGTCAGTAAACATTATATATAAAATAAAGTCATAACAGTAATAACAATATAAAATAAACTGTCCCAGGTGTAGGGATATTCCCAGCAGCATGCACACCTTAGTGCAACGTTGTGTGTCGTGTGTCAGTATTTACAAAAACTATACCAAATAAACTGTTATTAAATGCAGTTTGTCGCTCATCCTGCCGCTGCGCCGACGCTTCCTCATGGCGCAGCGCCCACACTTCATCCTGGTGCTGCTGGCGCTCCATCTGCTGCCTGGCGCTCCATCGAGGTGAGCATCTTGTCCTCCGTTTCCTGGGCCTTGGTGAACAGCACCATCTGATCTCCACGCAGCGACTCATTCACCACGGCACGCCGGTCCTCCAACGCCTGGGCGGTGTCAAAGAAATTCGCATCCCGTGTCCGCTTTCCTAAGAGGGGAAAATAAGCAATATACAATATACAAGTTTAGTCGCCATGTAGTTTTACAACATACTAGGAATGTGTTTTTTGTATTTTCACAAATAGAATTAAGGTTTCACAAATCTGAAACTGTGTTATAAAGAATCTTTTGACTCTCTGGGATAATCCAGTCCAGATTTGATGAGTCTAGGTATAGTGGTTTTAGATCAGGACCTGGTCTAATGTGGTCTACATGTAAAAAAAGCACTGAAATCTCCCTTTTTTTTTATTTTCACAAATAGAATTAAGGTTTCACAAATCTGAAACTGTGTTATAAAGAATGTTTGGCCTCTGGGATAATCCAGTCCAAATAAATCGGCTATGCAGCGATTTAAGAGGTTCAAACACGGAGGATTGTTCCTTTTTGAAGAGTGCTTCATGTATGCTTGAACTTTGTTTAATGTTGTTGAGGCAAGTTAAACATAAAATATGATGAATATTATGAAATAAACATGATTGTGAACATCAGTTCGATGCGTAACGTTCTTTCAAGACAAAGTTACAGTGTGTGTACCTTTGCGTTTGGTTGCTGGTAAGGAGGACGACAAAGCGCTGTGATCTAGAATGCAAAGCTCACTTGTTTCCAATCCCGAGAGTTGTCCATCCTCACCTGAAACAGACGATTAGTGCCATGAGTTAGTGAAGCAAATTACAGAAACACTGCACAGTTATTCACAAGTCAAAACGTTTTCATACAGCGGAGAATATCTAGCTAGCTAGATGTAGCTAGCCGGGGCCGGTGTTAGCCTATTATGGCTAGCATGGCTAGCTTGATCTACTGAGCAAATAAAAGTACATCTGAGACCATTATTGTGCAGATTAAAACCCCAGTGCATGTAGTTGATTTTACCTTCATCGTGGTAGTCATCGTTGGCCACTGAATCCGCCGTTTGTAGTCCTGAGTTTCTTTATATTTAGCCGGCTGTGCACAATTCCCAGGTCGAGTGAAAGCTACCGAACTGGCTTCAGTAGCATTCCCTGGGTCGCCTCCTCGGCGTAGATCTCCAGAAGCGCCGACACCTCCTCATCATTTCTTGATGCTTGCCATAACTGCTTTCAAAAACAAACACAACGCACGGAGCGTTGTGTTTTTGTAGCGAGGAAAAACAATGGCGGCTCTACACAACATTTTCAGAGTTGTACGGGCGTGGTTTGCAATTCGCCCAGCCAATCAGCACTGGGGAACTTTTGGAGCACTTTTCACCCACAGAAAAGTACGCTCTCTGAGCTGGCTCTAAAAATGGGGGTAAAAGTACCCGAGATTAAGTACGATTTTTGGTGTGAACGCGACATAAGGGGTACTCACGGAACTAAAACGCGAAAAGTACGGTGAAAGTACTCCGGTGTGAACGCGGCTAGTATTTCGTGTGTGATTGCAGACATTCTTCAGCGATGAGATACATGTAAGGCCATCTGCTAACATTGGAGTTGATATATGGAAACGCTAGCAACTTAGTTAGCCCAGTTAGCACTGCTCGCACACACAGACACACACACTGCTGGAGGAGCAGACAGGCTTGGCGATACAGCGAGAACAAGCAAAACTCATCCTGAGCACACACAAACACTCACAGCCGAAGTAAAAACAATAAGTGTGGCTTGAAATTGAGTAAGAAAAAGGTTTATAACGCTGTGAGCATGGGTCTGCGGAGAGCATTTCAACGTAGAAAAACGTTTACCCATTTAAACAGTCGTGGTAGATACCTTGTTTGTTTTAAACATCATAAATACACAAACAACAATGAATACTTACAGGTTGTGTACCCGAATCTCCCGCTGGTCCAAACAAAGTAGGAACAGCATCGTTCTTCAGTGCCCTACGCTGTACATATCCGGCATGAATCGCTGAAAGGTTTTGGGAAGCTTTGTTACGTGAAAGGCTGGCAGAGGGTGCGGCCATAGCTCTGGGCATGGCTACTGGGTATCCCTACGTAGCGATACCCAGGAAGTAAACAATGGAAAATGAGGAATCTCCAACGAGGCGTTTTGGGGAGGTCTTTTCTGTGTTAGAGTTTTACTCGCTACAGGGTGTATTTTGAGGGTTTTTGACTCTGCAGACCGTTTACATGCATAAAACCCTTCATAACACACAAGGGGACGGGTAATAACCGGAAAAGCATGACATGGGACCTTTAACACAAATTCATGGTCCCCAGAGGATAAATTGTAATAACCCTTGTGACTTAATTTAATCTAAAGTTTCCAGTACTTTGGTTTGTACCCAAATAAATACCAAACTAATGACATTCCCATCAGCCTATATCAGGACATCTTGGCATGATAACACACTTAACATGGCCAATGTTACACTTTATTAACAACAGAAAGTGTGCATTGCCATTGTGAGCAAGATTTAGTTAATGTAACTTAAACAGTATTAACTTATCTTATGGTATGCAGGGCCAGGGGGGTCAACGTTCAGTTCTAAAAATGCAAACGGGGAATGTCAATTATTATTAATATCCTCCTTATCTCATTTTCTTGCCTATGTGAAAAAAACATTGTGACATTCAGCGCCGCAGATTAGAAACTCTCAGTGGGACTATGTATATAGCCTTGTTTTACTCCTCTGGAGCAGAAAGGCTTGCCTGAGAGGGTTGAGGTTAGTCAGGTATGACCTCGTTCTACATACTGAGAAAACAGAGCAAAGAACCGGTTGTGCTGGAACAGTCTGGAAATCTAGGGTACTTTATCTTCATCACAAACTATTGTACTAAAGGCCTTTAGTATCTCTTTAACACTGATTCAATGTGTTTATTTACTCATTATTCAACACTGCTCATTTAGGATCTGTCTATACCAAGTGTTTACTAAGTGTTTTGCCTAAGATATCGCTGCATTATCCATATTGATATGAAATATTGTATAAAATCAATAGTTTGCCAGGTATTTGGAAAATGTATTTTTTTATATTTAGAATGTAATTATAAAAGACCCTACTGTTCTTCAGGTCAGACTTGGAGATAAAGTGTGCTACTACTGTGGTTTGTAGGGCAATAGTGCACGTGTATGTGTGTGTGTGTATGAGAGAGAGAGAGAGAGAGAGAGAGAGAGAGAGAGAGAGAGAGAGAGAGAGAGAGAGAGAGAGAGAGAGAGAGAGAGAGAGAGAGAGAGAGAGAGAGAGAGAGAGAGAAGTTCAGACGTGAATCAGGCAATTCGCTCAGGACAATACCGGAAGCTTGCAAGTTAGGGTTCAAAATAAAAGCATGCAATTTTGCAGAAACCAACAACACTATGTCTATGTCAAAGTGTATTATGCTTATATGCTATGTTCAATAATATGTGTTGTCATTGAATCTTCATTTGTAGATTTCATAGCCTCTGCAATTTATATTCCTTTGCCAGTTTTTGATCGTGTTTTCCCCCATTAGCTTCTAATATAAGAGGTGATGATTCCACAACCATATGTTATCTGCATTATAATGTACTATGTTATATGAATGTGTTTAACTGTCTTTAAAACATAATACTATATTTAATTTGTACTTTATTTATCTTTTGAAACAGACAATTATCATTACGACTGTATGCTATACTAATCACATTATATATTTGTCTGGTTTACAGACATGTATTTGCTGCCCCTGCTCCTAAAATCACACCACTGTTAGACACAATGTTGTCTAATTGCTCTTTTATAGTTTCTATGTTACTTTTTTCTTATTTTAGTCTCTTAAACCTCTTGTGATAAAGCCCCTTTCTGCTAATGTTATGAAAAACAGAATAATGCCTTAGAAACTCAAAATAATGAGATATTATTCTGATGAGAACGTTGGTCATTATTGTAAGATATTACGTTTATATTTTGAGTTATTAAATCAGTGTTTTGAGATATAAGTTAGTTCTTTTCTTGCTGACATTTCTCATTGTTTTGACAAAGTGCAAAATCATTATTTTAAGACAGTACTGAGTCACTCATTATTTTGAGTTTTTTATTTTAATGATTTACATGATCTTTTTTAAAATCTTTTTTGTAAATGTTCATCTTATTCATTTCTTGTAATGCCGGAAATGGGCTTTCATCAATTGTGATCCTACTCAAGGGGTAAAAGAGTAGGCTATCTTATTTTGAAATTCCTAACCGGATATAGTTGTTTCGTTTGTCGCTAGCTTAGCGTCCGGTGTGTAAACACAAGCAACGCCTGTCCAGCTCCCCGCACAACAACAGACGCGCCTTCAGAGGCAGGAAGAGACGCGAGAGCGAGAAAAAAAGACATTTAACATATTGTTTAGTTAACAGAAACCTTTGTAAAGTGACAAGTGTGTGTAATACGATATATAAAAAGGAAGAAGAACACGTCGCTTCAAGATTTTCTTAGCAGTCTTGGTAGAGCGGCTGCCCCGGACTGTCCACCGCAACATACACGGTAAGTTAACCAGGATTCTACTTGATTTTATTGTACTATTTATAAGAATGATGTCAAGCGTCAAGTAAAAGCTTGTTACTATAACACTATGCGTGTGTCCCGTTGCTTTTGTAAGTTTACGGACACATCTGAAAGTAACGTACGAACTGTGCACAGGTGTGCGAAGGTTTAATTAATTGCTTCTGGTTGCTGCTGTTCCCTTTTTAGCTTTAAAACACACTATCTGTAAATCATTGAGGCAATTTAGTGTATTCTTTCTGCTCAGAAAGTCAAACTATTTATTTTACAATGTCAAATGTATCCTGGAGGGCCCCATACAGTCTTTGTGGTCCGTCTTAGTTCCCTTTTTATCAAAGTGTGCATCAAGCATGGCAGGTTTGCTGGGTTTAGACATAACAAAGTGCCTCTTGTATACGGACTCATTTCCTGCTCGGACCTCAACTCCATTCCAGACCATAAATCAACATTTTCCTTATCAAGGAACCCTGCATCCATCTCTCCAAAACAAATCTTATTGCTTTTCTTATCTTTTTACTCAAGTAACATACACCTGGATACTGTTCTTTGCTTGTGAAATCTGTGGTACAGATGGATTTCTTTGCATTCACACTACAATCTCCCACCTATTACTTTTCTGGTCTAGGACAGATTGTTCCAGTTTTGTGAACTTGCTTAATGCTTTAATACCAAAAATAAGCTTTACCTTCCAGCTCTGTTGGAAAGCATTGAACCAAAAATGTAGTCAACTCGTGGTTACAAGAGGATCATTTATTGTCTATTGGGACACAATGGTAGACTCTACATGCCAATAACAACACAAAACAATCAGTGGTCTATTTCCTGGTGTGTATGTAAGAGAGAGTGGTTAACAGGATTTGGATGACTTGCCTTAGGGCCCAGCAATAGCATATGTGAATTCTTAAAATGAATGGCATTCCCCCTGTGATGTGTATGCAGCCACTTTTGGCTCGAAACAGAGGCACTTTTCATGGGACCAGAACTCCACAGTTAGTGTGTTACTAGGAAGAAATAGGAACTTAATTCAGTGTTTCCCACACAATACTTTATTGTTGGTTAATTGGATGTATGCTGCATGTGTGCACAGCAGCTCTGTAGTGTGTTTATACTTCAGTAACAAAGCTAAAAAAAGCTCCGTCTATTTATTAGGCGCAGCTGCCTCATTTGTAAACAAATGTCCAATACTTAGAACGAGATGATAACACAACAAAGAAGAAGAAACAAACTTAACATTGGAAAGTCTCTCCCACAGCCCTCAAACCCCAGCTCAACCGGATGTTATATTCAAATTGTTCCCAGCCTAAACACACAGAGGTCAAGTGCTTACCTCAGCAGGCCTGAAAAAGGGCGGACTGTGAGCCTTGACAGTGGGAGGCCACAGTTTATTTGCATTAATAATGTCTCAAGTGATTTTATTAAGCGCATGGCAAGCATCCCTCAAACATCTTCAGAGGATCTGCTGCGTCAGCATGTCAGGGTTGTTGCATCCCCGGGGAGTTATTGAGTTCTACATGACAGGAATATAATGACTGCAGATTTAGGATTGGGATTTTTTTTGCATTTTATCAACTCTAAATCCAGCATTAAATCTGCTTATTTCGGATCTCTTGTTGAATCTATTTGTGTAATTGGCTTAAGGATGAGACCATTTCTTAGTTATAAAACTGCATTTTCATTGTCCTTAATACAGTAACAAAAGAAAGTTCAACAAATCTTAAACCAACTATAAGGAACTTTAATTTGGTGTTGATTTACCGCCCCATTGACTTAAGTGGTAGTGTGTTCCTAGAATCCAGACTGGTTTTCCCATGGGCACCACCACCTCGTGTTGCAAAGATCTTACTATTCTTCAGTTTTAAACACAGACTGAATGACGTATTATAAGCTACGGTTGTTTACCTGTTTGTCATCATGCTTAAATTCGCAGATAGCTTTGCTGTGCTTGCTTTGCTCGGAAAATGCATTAGCTCCATCAAACCATTAAAAAACGTTAAACATTGGTTTAGCTTAATGGTTTAATTTTTAAACATTAGCTAGCTTTGTTTAAGTCGCCAATCTAAATTCAAATATTGATAAAAAAAGCACGTCTTGCGATTTAATTCATTAATTAGTTCCATACCGGTCTAAGAAGAAGTAGGCCAATCAGTATTGCTTTTATATACTAAAAGTAAAATACTCTTTCCTTGAAAAGACATGCGTTTTAAAACTGGGAATTTTACCAACCTATAATTCTGGTTTACTACAGATTGGTTCTTCTTTGCTAGTTTTGGGACTGTTTTTAACAACTCTGTCGTCCATAAAGAAGTCTGACAGGGAAGGAAAGACGAGCAGCCAGAAAATCAGACGGGTTTAAACAAACTCTCAGGTAACCTAAAGTATATGGAAGAGAAAACAAAGGGGAGTAAAGAACTTCTGACCAAGACTATCTGTTGTAAACGTCCATCACAGTTTAGAGACCAACTTCCTGCTTCAACTTCATCTACTGGATTTACCTTAGTCATGCTTACACACAGTGTTCCTGTGCTGTGAGAGAATATCACACATTTCAGGTGTGCTCACTTTAGCTTATTTTTCCTCACCCAAAGTTCACCCCTTCTTTTTGGAACACACCTTGTTTGACTTTGTGGAATCTTGAAAAAAGGTTATGAAGGTGTGAGTATTTATTAGTCTAAAAGCCCCTGTTTCATAATAGATGATGTGTTTTCTGTAAGTGACACCTCTCAGTCGTGCTGCTGCTGTGAATTTTTGCCCTTGAGACGTTTAACTGGAGGTCAAGTCCCTCCATTCTCTGTGTTATACAGCTCTGCAAACCGTCTCGTTGAAAAACAAATAGTGAGGGAGAAACTCTAGAAGCCAAAACAACAATGGGAACTCAGTGGGAGGTGTTTTGCTGTCAGAAGCAACGTGAAGACCTTGTTGTGTTTTAAGATTTCCTGAGAGCCTGTCGAGTCAAATTAAATGTTGATTTAGGGTTTTCTTTGTTTATGTAGTGTCCCATTGTGCTAAATTGAGTCCCTTGCTGCTAGTTGCTTGCTGTAATTAGTAATGTGGCACAGTTTCCCACACCACAGCGTTTCAAACTGACAGAAAATAATGACACTGATATTTTTCCTTAAACAATAAGCTGTGTGTAGTGCAAATTAAACTACAGGCTTCTATACTAAGGTTTGTTTAATCTGTATACATCATGAGTTTAACTTTGTTTTGTTCTGTTGAAGGAAGAGTGCTGTGTGGATTTGTATCTGTTAGCTTTGTTGGCAGTCTGCTGTAATATCCTGCAACACATGGTAAGAAACACTGACAATATGCTCAATCCACGACTCATGCTGTATGTTGACTAAACACAATGAGTGCAGAGTTGGCCTCAACCGTCACTCCTTCCTTCCTCTTTCTCCTTATGAATAGATTTTCATGTAGCTTCCAATCTTTCTTTGAACTTGTGATATAGCAGATGGGGTTTACTGAGATTCTGATCTGATCTGATTAAGTTGTCAGTCACACAAATCAGTTTTGTAAATACTCTTTGACCTTGGACTGCATGGGAACAAGCCTCTGTAAATAACATGCGAGCAAATCATGTTCTTCTTATCTTTCCAACACAAACCGTTGATTAAAATACACAACAAATATGATTCAAACTGTTTCTTTAATCATAAATGTATATTTGAACTATACTCTTCGTTCTCAACCACACATTTTAACCAGAAACCCTTTCATGCATGAATTATGAAAGTGTTTTTATTGCTCTTGGGGCATGAAAAACAAGATTTTAACTTTAGTTTATTTTTATCTAGTTTTTTCAAATTTAGCTCCACCCAGGTGGACATATAAAAACATTTTTTCCACCCAGGTGGACAGTATGCGTTAAAGTTTGAACTGAAGACATGTACATTTGGAAAAAATGATAAATAAAGATGTGCAAACTTAAAATTACATTATAATAACATAAGTATATTGATTTACGGCCCAAAAAGATATTGCAAATGAAGTATTTTCAAGAACAACAGTAGCAGTAACAGTATGAAGTTTAGTTGAAATATGGCCAGTGATGCATGACGTCCACTTTAGTGGACAGGTGATTCATCATAATTTCCTGCAAACATAAAATCAGTACTTTGACAATTTATGAATTATATGATTCCTTAGTTGTTACTTGATGTCACCAACATTGTTATACCTGCAGGGGGCGCTTTCCATAAAAGGATTGGCAAGATATCGACGAGTGATTCGGTCCATCTGGCTTTCTGTCGTCCATCTTGGTTTAGAGAAATGTAACTTGCACTGACTTTCCACTGAGTGGCAGTGTATGGGATGATGCAATAGGGTCCTATGTAGTGGCTGATGGTGCAACTATGGCTGCGTCTCAGGTCGGTTAAATGGAATCCTTGTGTCCCTCACTTGCGTCGTTTCCCTGCGTTTAGTTCCTCCCACCAGGGAAGCATGGAGAGACGCAAGGAAACCACGAGAAGCAGGGAAATGAGTTTTAAGAGCAATGGGAAGTCCGTTCCTCCGGAGCGTCATGTGAAGCTACGTCCGTTTGTGATGACGCCGCACAGCTGATGTCTGACAGCAGCTCTGTCCCCGTTGTTTTCACACACACCCCCGCCTCTGTTAGTACACATTTACTGACATATACATTTGTATCATCTGTTGTAGACCCAAATAAATAAAATAAAATAAGAACTCATTCTCAAAAAAGATAAACGCCATTCTTAAAATGTATAAACGAAAAAAGCGATCATGAAAATGTTTCCAATAAATGAATAAAATGATTTTTGACCACTTTGTTGTTCAGATATATCACATATTTGTAACTGAATGATACATTAATTAAAACAAAACACAGTATAGACTGAGGAGTGACTCTCGTGAGTTTCATGTATTTTCTTCACTACGCTGGGAAACTGCTCTCATGTCAAGAAGCATCAGATCAGTGCATGCACTGCATCGTCCAATCAGTGAGCGATACACAGTAAGGGGGC